TGGGTGATGATGAAAGGGGTGGGTGGAAAACATTTCGCATTTATATCGGATATCCCGAAACGCTCTGGGTTCGACCCTATGGGCTGTATATGCGGAACTCCGACCGGGAAACGAAACGGTGTGCCGGCGGTTCTGTTGGAGTGGGAGGTGGTTGTAACGGTGGATTGGGGTCGGTGGACGGAGCTATAAATTATATCAAATTGTCCGGGGACCGAAAAAGGGGAAAAACCAAAAAAAAAAACAAATAGTCGTAGTTTTCGCAGTGATCCGTGCTGCTATCTGTGCGGGAAGTGATTTTGCGCGGTAAAAACGGGTAAAAAATTAAATTCATTTTTTGAAATTCTAAAAAAGAAAAATTACTTCACTTATCAAAGATTTAATGAAAAAATCATACTGTATTACCATTAGGTTAGGCTAATCTAACCTATGAAAAATGTAAAAAATGTAATTAAAAAACATCCACACCGACGCTTGAACATTAGTACAATTATTATTACATAAGACACAGTAAACTACCCGACGACGACGACGACGACGACGACAACGGATGACTTTCGTGATTACATAACCATTATTTGGTTGTCGTTTAAAATATTATGTCGTCGTACGAATATTATTGTCATTATTGTTACATACCATGTTTTTAGGAGTCTGATGGCAAACAGTGACCACGGACTGTTGGTGTTGCTGGTGTTGTTGTTGGTGTTGGTGGTGTTGGTGATGAGTAGGATGGTGGTGAACCGGATGGTGATGGTGATGGTGTTGCGGCGGAGGTGGTGGAGGAGGAGGAGCTGCGTAGACGGCTACGGGGAAAAGGGGGGACCCACCGAACGGACAGGGTTCCGTGTTTACGTGGATGTTGATAACTCGTGGGTAATAATAATGTTATAGCACGCTATATAGCGTCAGCGACAGCGGCGGCGACTTATAGCTGCAACTTGTACCGTAGACGTGGTATATAGCAAGCGGTAGCAACGGTATAGCAGAAGTAGGTATTATAATATAGCTGCAGCTGTAGTTATTTATTATGTTATCGCGTATAGCACGTTGACGACAGGTTTAATTMAATTGTAATTATAATTCTAACAATAATTATGAAATACGTCGACCACTGTACCACGGTATAATTGAGAGGAAAAAAATTTACGACGGCTGCGGTGATTAAATCGCGTCAAAACGGTGGTGTTTTGGTGCGACGGACACGAACGACTGCGGTGACGACGGCGAACGATAACAACAACAGACCCGACGGGACGACGAAGGGACCGCGAGCGCTGCCGTACCGTCCTGTGCTTTGAAACGCGCTCGAATGGGGTGCCACCTAGCGGGCTGGCCTGGTGGTGCCACCGTCGTCGGTGGCGACGCTGTCGCGGGGGGTGGTGAAAACGCGAAGCGGCAGCGCGGCAGTAGCGTCAGCGGCAGCGGCACCTGACCGTCGGCGAGTCGCGCGGCGCGCGCTACGGTGGCGGCGCGGGCGGCGATTACTATGTTATGTTATATATTATAAAGAGTGAGAGAGAGATAGTAATACGCGCGCAGTGGCTGTATAATAATGCGCTGTGTGTACGACGACGCTTACGCTTACGCTGACGGCGAGGACGCTGACGCTGACGACGACGACGACGACGACTATGCGGCGACGACTTCCGCGTGTGCCCATGGCAACGGCGGCGCACGCACTCTGTGTACACGCACCCTCGGCCGCCCGCCTGGCTGGCTAGGGGTGGCGAACGCATCGTCGGCGGCGCGGCGGCGGTGGCGACGACGACGACGACCGTAATAAATAATCCAAATAATAGGCTCAAAAGTTTTTTCTTCCTTTTTAGCCACCAAACCATCGTTGCCGCCGCTACGAGCTTTTCAATTAATAACTTTAGGAACAACTCATTTTTTTAATGAATCTGTTAGGTAGAAAAAAAATCTTTTGAGTAAAAAAAAAAAAAAATTACGTACGGAACAATTGAATAATTAGTTTTTAATAATGTTTTTTTTCTTCCCGCTGTCGTTTCGCTCACCCTGTGGTCACCGCTCYTCCACCAAATTGCACCCCATACCACTGTAACCTAACCGATCGAGGACTCGGCTCGATTCTGCGAGTCATTAAGCCGTCCGAAAACTCGTGAATTACTTAACTATAAATCAACGGGTAAATCCTAAACACGTCAGTGACGCGTGGTCGCGTGATATTATATTTTATGAAAAAAAAAAAAACACGACAAGAAGGAAAATCCCTTCCCGAAGCATAAAGCGTATAACGACATCAAATAATAATTATATTTATATAAGTGTCTAATGTAACTATAATGCCTCATYCTTACGCGCGTGTTCACTTGGTAAACTTGTTCATAATAATGGTTTATAAAATGTATTATTATATAGTTATATAGCGCCTCAGGCGTAAATATTAAGTAGGTACTCAATAAGACCAAGAAAAAAAAAAAATTGATTTGCCCATCGTACAATGGTTGTACACAGCAAATTTATTGCATTATGCATGAAAATCTGCTAAAAAAAACCATAAGGAAAAATTATTGCAAAAGTTTTACCACTTAAAAAAAAAATGTGCTGACGAAGAGTTTAAATTTGAGTTTATATCGCGATGTTAATAATAAAACATCAATCGTTTTGAGATTTATATATTATTGTACAATGTTATAGGGATATGGTTTTAGCTCAAGAGG